TGCCCAGGCGGGTCTCGAACCCGCAGGCTCAGGCAATTCACTCACCTCGGCCTCCCAAAGTGCTGGGATTACAGGCTGAGCCACCGAACCCGACCTCAGTGGCACTATCATGGCTCATTGCACTCTCTGAATCCTGGGCCCAAGCAATTCTCCCTCCTCGACTTCCCAAAGTACTGGGATTACAAGCATGAGTCACTGTGCCTGGCCTATTTATGCTTTACGACTTCAGATATAGGCCAAGTGCAGTGACTCATGCCTGTAATCTAAGCACTTTGAGAGGCCAAGGTGAAAGGACTTCTTGAGCCCAGGAGTTCAAGAGCAGCCTGGGCAACATGGGGAGACCCTGTCTCTACAAAAAATTAAGAAAAAAAAAATGAGTCAGACATGGTGGTGCACACCTGTAGCTCCTGCTACTGAGGAGGCTGAGGACGAAGGATGGCTTGAGTCCAGAAGTTAGTGCAGTGAGCCATGATCATGCCACTACACCCAAACCTGGGCAACAGAGTAGATGCTGACTCAAAAAAAAAAAAGTATAGAGGTGCCCATTTTGCCAGACGCCTCATTTCTCCTATATCTTCTTATTTTCAAGTGATAATATTGCCCTAATGAAGTGCATTGTTTCCATTCTAAATGATAATCCTATTTTCTATCATGTGTCCCTCAAAAAAAGGGGGGTAAGGAAAATGGGGAGACTTGAGGACAAAGTCCTGGCAAAATACCCCAATCCTGTAGCTGGATGGCTGCACCGGTTTCAAGGTTATGCAAAAACGGTTATTCAACTTTTACAGCTGAAAATTATACAGCTCATATTTTGCAGCTCAAGATTTAAAGAACACTTTAAATCTTGGACATAAATGTAGCTCAGCAGCATAGCTGTTGTTTGATGAAAGACCAACCATGAAGGCCAATCATGTTAAAGGCACTTCTGTAAGAAATGTCTTTTTTTTTTTTTTTTTTTTTTTGAGTAGGAGTCTCATGTATCACTCTGTCACCCTGGCTGGAGTGGCACACTCACCGCCACTGCAACCCTGACCTGCTGGACTTAGGCAATTCTTCTGCCTCAGCCTTCCATGTAGCTGGCACTACAGGCGCACGGCACCATGCCTGGCTAATTCAGTTACTGAGTTTTAACACCAATATATAGCACATCCAGGGAATAGCCCAGAATGATCTTTACTTCTGTCCCCCTTCCTTTTTTTTTTTGAGTCGGAGCCTTACACTGTCACCCAGGCTGGAGTGCAGTGGCAGACTCACGGCCACTGCAACCTCTATCTGCTGGGTTCAGGTGATATTTTCGCCTCAGCCTTCCAAGTAGCTGGAACCACTGGTGCATGCCACCATGCCTGGCTAATTTTTTGATCTATTGCAGAGACTAGGTCTTGTCAAGTTGCCCACGCTGGTCTGGAATCCCTAGACTCAGGCAATCCTCTCATCTCCACCTCCCAAAGTGCTGGGATTATAGCGTGAGCTAGAATTCTTTTTTATTTTTTTGAGTTGGAGTCTCACTCCATCACACAGGCTAGAGTGCAGTGGCATGCTCACAGCCACCTCAGCATTGACCTGCTGGGCTCTGGCAACCCTTCCGCCTCAGCCTTCCAAGTAGCCAGAACTACAGGTGCTTGCTACTGCGCCAGCTAATTTTTTTTATTTATTGTAGAGACAAGGTCTTGCCAAGTTGCTCAGGCTGGTCTCAAACCGTGGGCTCAGGCAATCCATTCGCCTCAGCCTCACAAAGTGTTGGGATTACAGACTAAGCCACTGAGCCTGGCCTATTTTTATTTTTATTTTTTATTTTTGAGTTGGAGTCTCACCCCGTTGCCCAGACTGGAGTGCAGTGGCATGCTCACAGCCACCCCAACATTGATCTTCTGGGCTCCCGCGATCCTTCCATTTCAACCTTCCAAGTAGCTGGAACTACATGTGCGCTACCATGCCCGGCTAATTTTTTATTTATTTACTGTAGAGGTGAGGTCTTTTTTTTTTGAGTTGGAGTCTCACTCTGTCGCCCAGACTGGAGTACAGTGGCCGCTCCCGGCCACTGCAGCCTCGACCTGCTGGGCTTTGGCGATCCTTCCGCCTCAGCCTTCCAAGTAGCCGGAACTACAGGCATGCACTACCATGCCCGGCTGATTCTTTTGATTTTTATTGTAGAGATGAGGGCTCACTGCCCAGGCAGGTCTCAAACCCGCGGGCTCAGGCAATCCACTCACCTCAGCCTCCCAAAGGTGTGGGATTGCAGGCTGAGCCACCGAGCCCAGCTTGAGGTGAGGTCTTAACCTGTCACCCAGGCTGGTCTCAAACCCACGGGTTCAGGCAATTGCCTCGGCCTCCCAAAGTGCTGGGATTACAGGCTTGAGCAACCGTGCCCAGCCAGGAAATGTCTTCTTTAGAAAACAGGAAACAGTATATTCACATTGCAGTAAACCCTGAAACTTCCTTGTTGCTTTGCTGCTTCTTGGGCACCCTTTGTCATCCCACCCCCATCAGGTTTTCTTTATTCTCTTTTTTATGCTGGTGCACCTGGTTCCAGGAGTGGAAGAGGTTAGGAGTCGAGCAGCTGCGGCTCAGCACAGTAGACATGATTGGGATCCCCACCTTGTCCAATCTCCAGAAAGGAGTCCAGTTTGCTCTCAAGTACCAGTCACTGGGCCAGTGCGTCTACGTGCATTGTAAGGCCGGCCGTTCCAGGAGTGCCACTATGGTGGCAGCGTATCTGATGCAGGTAGGAAGTCTTTCTGGACTGGCTCCATGTACAGCAGATTTCCAGAACTTCAGTAGCATGAACTACTGGTGGGCCCTTTTGGAAGAAGCCATGTAGTCAATTTCAGGCTGTTGGATGGTGGAATGGTGTCGTGGAAAGCACCTGAGCTCTGTGACTCAGCTAACCACTGGTTCTGCCACCTGCCAGCTGGGATAGGCAAAAGTAGCTTCTCTCTTAGTTTCCTCCAACTAAATGTGTTATGCAGTTTAAGTGAGGCAGTACATCAAGCGCTGATCTACAACAGGTACTCAAAAAATAACGTTGCAGAGGGTGTTCAATCTCAGCAAAAGGCTAAACACACTTGTTATAGTATGTTGGGAAATTTAGTACTGTAGATAATACTGACTTCTTTCAGCTCCGTTGTACTGTTTCTTCAAGTATTTTAGGGTCATGTTCGGGACATTAGTTGAAACAGGATTCAAAATGAATTTTGCCTGTCAGTTGGTTAGGATTGGTGGGGGGGATGCTTGGAAAATATTGAGAAACAAATACCCTGTGGTCCTTCATCCTTCCCTGGTGTCTTGCACCGTGCTAGCCTGACTTATTTTTTGTGGTCTATCTGGCCCCCAACAGAGCCTTTTCTGTCTTGTGAATAGTTGAGCCTGACCTTGTTTGTGTTACTGTGGACTGGTGAGTACGATTGACAATACTGAAGCATTGGTCATAAGGACTCTGCTAGAGACAGGGTCTCAGGAGGGTATTTTGTGCCAAGCAAGAAGGGAACCAGCATGGTACACGTCTATATTTTCTTGGTTTTGCTGAGTTCTAAAGCAATGAGTAGCCGTAGGACACAGATAACCCTCCTAGTTAAATGTACTCTTGTTTTTCTAGCCATGGTGACGTATTGTATAAAAACATCTACTGTATACTCTTTCCTAGAAATTCTTTTTTTTTTTTTTTTTTTTTGAGTTGGAGTTTCACTCTGTCGCCCAGACTGGAGTGCAGTGGCCACTCCCAGCCACTGCAGCCTCGACCTGCTGGGCTCCGGCGATCCTTCCACCTCAGCCTTCCAAGTAGCCGGAACTACAGGCGTGCGCTACCACGCCCTGCTGATTTTTTGGTTTACTGTAGAGATGAGGTCTTGCTGCCCAGGTGAATCTCGAACCCGCGGGCTCAGGCAATCCACTCACCTCAGCCTCCCAA